AACACATTGACTCTCCCAGCTGTTAATCTAATCCAACATATTGACGATCTTACCTGTTACAGCATGAATAAATTAACAAGGGAATACATATACATGTACTATTTATTCCCATTCATAAATACCTGTTTTAGTCAGAGAGTCAAAAGAAGTCAATATGTGATGGATTTCAAATAATTTAGTTGTAGAATTTCACTTTAAGTTTTCCAAGCACCCCTGTCCATTTTGGTGAGCTCATGGTGAGCCGTGTACACACATCCGCTTGACCATTCAGAATCGATTAAAATGTCTGGTATCCAGACGCCAGCACATAATTTACACAGTGAGCGTTATCACTTCTCAGCGGGCATTACCAAATATTAATACACAGTCAAGTTACACATCGTTGAATAGGGAGACTATCTGAGGTATCAATGAACGTATAATCATGGCCAACACGCTCTTTCCAACCAGAACAAAGCTAGAGAAATTCCTGTTTCCACAAATTCCCGGCACTCTTACTTCTGATATCATCTACAGTACTTTTTTGACCAAGTAGATTTTGAAATACCAATTTTTTTTCAGCTAACTCTAGTAAAAAAATAATTTAATGGCAACGAGTGTTACACTTCTCTCTAATAACTGAAGAGTTGTTTGTCATTGTTGTGTATGCAAAGTAACTTTGTCAGAATAGCAATTTAAGACTGTGGATAAAATCTTTTGGAACATTATTCTGGCTCAAACTAGATCATGTTGCTGGACAAGATGGCCATCCCTGTGACTCAGAGAGTAGAAGGTACCATCATGGGTTTAGCACATTATCATGACAACCTCTTCTGCACCATTGACCGTTCCTCCCGGGTACTTCAGTACAGCATGGCCAAAAGGCAGCTGGTTCAGATCCTACAATGTGGCAACATCATGCTGGCCAAAGGAGATTGTCTAATATCTACATCACCCGATGACACTCAAGTTGAAGATGGGGAATTCAAGGAGGAACAAGATGTAGTGACCGAGGTTCAAGATGTAAGCGATGCAGAAGCAGAGACTGGGACCAAGTCTACTCCACTATCAGATGATAGAGATGATATCTCCTTCAGGGACTCGTACTTTAGTAGCTCACCATCCCAGTCATCAGCTACTTTACCATCACCTCCTAAACGTGGTCAAACATTATCATGGCGAACACAGCCCAAGCCCATGGATAACACAGACATCCAGCGACCATTCAGTGAAGGTGCTCTGCGTCTGCAGTCAAGCATGCCTATTTCTCTGATACGATCAATACTGACTGTTAAAGATACCCTGTGGATTGGCACAGCTTCTGGCAAAACTCTCATTGTGAGCCTTGGCTCAGAAAGCCAACACAAGTATAGCTTTGGAGAAGTACTTGCTATTCTTGAACTCTTCCCAGAATTTGAAGATAAAGTTGGGCCTGTAAGACAACTCCTGAGGGCTAGGGACGAGTATGTCGTGGCTTGGATGGAGCTGAAAGCTTCATCAGCTCCATCGTTACCAGTCACTGACAACAAGACAGATCTTCATCATTACCAGATGCTGGTATGGCAAGCATGGGGTTCAGAAGAAGTGGAGAAATTTGAACATATTCATCACATGTTGAACAAAGCTGAAGTTGCTCCAGAAATTGAATAAGGTTTGTTTCTTCAAAGCCTTGATATAAGTGATTGTTGATGAAATGCTGCAGAGAATAACATGACCATCTCACTGATTTTCTGTAAGTATTGGTTTATGAAGTCCTAAGTTAATACATTAAAGGTCAGAGATTTAACAAGGTTGAAGGTTTAAAAAACAGATGGTTATGTCATGGACACTGCTATTTCCCTGGTCTAAAGTAGTCACTTTTTACGTTTGATATTATTTCAGTCACTGAAATGTTGCTGTCTGTGTCATTTGTGTCACAGAGGTACATTGTGCCGTGCTGCATGTGATCAGCATGGCACATCAGATGTGTCAATTAAACCATTCTTCTCAAGCTTTTCTGTTACCTTTTAGATATGACATTGAAAGCTTTCAGTTTATCTGATTTATAAATTACCAATCTTTCAAGAAGATAGTGCATTTATCTTTTTGATTTGTAAGCAAAGCAATACCAACATACTTTTTGTATAGTATTATTTGTCATGTGAATCTCTGGTCAGTATAGAATCAGCATGATGTTCCACATGACAGCAATGAGTGATTGCATAAATGTACAAACTACCAGATCATCTATTGTGATGCTGAAATGTCTCAACAGAACAAAAGCAAATTTCAAATTTTGATCGGCAGTATGAGGAAAAATGTACGATGTCATTGTGTAGATGGTCTACTACGCAACTTGTGAGAATTTAGTGAAATATTGATGAATACTTAAGAAGATTTTGGTTCTGTATTTGCATAAATTTGTTGGATCGACGAAAATCTCAAATCTGCTTTTCATAAGATGGTGCCTTAAATTAACAAAACATATTTTTACATGTACATAGCATTGATTCCTTACCTGTTTTTAATTTTGAGATCATATAATTTCTCTACAAGTATTAAGGTTGATCTATTGAAGAAAATAACTTTAAGATTAAATGTCCACATCTTTATATGTTACCTGCTCTGCAAAAATTGAGTCTCAAGTCTCTAGAGCCACGTTTGAATTTTACTTTGTTTTAGATTGAGGAATTTAAGCTTTTTGTCTTTGTGTATCACTCAGTTTAAAATGATGAAAATGGAAGTTGTGTAGATTTTAAATGTTGAGGATTCCTATTGTATAAACACTGTACAAGATTCTTGTAAAGGCCTTAAACTCTAAAGAGGCTCCTGTGATATGACTAATATTCGTAGAATGGGTCACATTTGTACATTTGAAACTTTCAATGTGATGATTTTTTAGATTTCAATCTAAATTATTTTGTAACGTTGACTTTTTTACTGGTGTTCTTACCATGATCACTAATACCATTCAAAATGCCTGTAAATTTGATGATGCAGTTGGAATTTTATGTTTTTACATTTGTATCTGCTATTCAAAACCTTACCTTATACGCTTCGTGGCAGCTGTCTGTTGTAAGTCTCCAAAAATTGTGTTTTCAGTTTATTTCTTCTAACATCAATAATGTTGAGTTGTTGAGATTTAACATATTTTTATGTCACTTTGCTGGTATAGTTATTAACCAATAATGAATGTTAAATTTCATCAGCTAAAAGACCAGACGTACAGCCTAAAACATATCATTACTTAACTTGGGAGAAATAGGAAAATTCTAATTTTATCAAAAGAAAAGCTCCAAATTCTGATGTTATCAGCTGATCTTTAGTATGTGACAAAATAAAATATTCGATGTGCAATGTTCCCTTATACCTATTTTTATCAATTTTATCGCTTTGTTTCATAATTTACGTATTCCCATCTAAAAATTGGATATTATAGCCAAATTATTTGGAAAAACATAAGTTGTGCAGAGTTTTTGCAATGAAGATAGTAATATGTAGCAGCGCGTACTGAGTAATGTTTTAAAGAAATTCTGGTTTTATTTACATCCTGAAAATGGTAAAAATAAAAGAAGAGCATTTATCTGTGAATCTTAGCATTTAGGTTTTTTTTAAATGGTGGTTAAACTGCCTTAGGTTTGTGAGACCCTCCTCTAGTTACTGCCTTTTGTTTTTTTCTTAAGAACTTTGGATATATCAAGAACAAAAGTTGATCAGCAGGAATAGTGACAAAGTACTCTATAGATGTGTCCTAAAAAGATTTCTCACCTCAAAGAGTTTCCGTTGGCCAGTGCATGATGAATAGTTTACAAAACTTTTACAAAAGTTTTGGGGGTTAAGTCCAAAAATAAATTTCAGAAAATCGTTTCATGCCACGCCCCCCCCGTGAAGAATTTCAATTGATCACTGAACCCCCCCCCGAAACTGCAATAATCCAGGGGGTGTGGCCAATCTGTTTATATTGACAGATTGACCACACCTCCCTCCTATATAATGTACTGTATGTAAACGGCGTTGAACTCAGTACTATAGTACAGTAACTCCTGAAGCGCCCTCTATGGACGTAGTTATTGCAAGTTATGTGAGTACACAGCTACAGATGATTGGTTCCTAGTTGGCAAATTTCACCAACAACGATGTTGAGTAAGAAAGAACGAGAAGGTTCGGCGAGATTTTTGCAAGAATTCCCCAAACATGAACTCCTGTCTCTTGTGGAAACGGTCACTAATCGCATGATTACCGTTCGGAACAAACAAGGTATTTATCGGAGCTGGTTGCTTCTTGTGGGACCCATATCCCAAGGGGCCGGGGGCGTCCCCCATCGCCGAAACATTGCGTGCGGGACATTTCCGTATTCGCAATTCGGCTTCCACGCCACGTACTCGCCACCTTACCTCATGAAATTTCACCTCACTTCATCCATCAAGTTGTAATTTTAATTGAAGACATGTACCGTGGGAAGAAATGAGATTGTCTCAGGGAAAGTTGTTTTGCCTTTTTAACTTTTTAACTTTTAAGAAGGAACGGTAAAATATGACAACAAAGATGCATATCATGCTTGTAGTAGTTGTGCTTTTGTAGTAGTCTTAGTTCAAGACATTCTTTATTGAGAGTGGGTCAATTTCTGCTTTTATGTCACAATACATGTTTAACCTAGTTTCTATGGAATTAAGAAATGGATTGTTGCTGCCGAGCAATTGTCATGATAATGCGTGATGTTGGCTTGACACAAAAACTTAAGATGAGACAGTGACAATTGCAAGACAGTATCGTTCTGCCACGCAAAGAAGTGGTACTGTAAACTATCATGACTTAAGAGCCATCCATTTGACAGTGGTGGTGTGCATACATAACATCAGACTCGGAACACACAACAGTATTTGTTCAATAAATGGCTCCAACAGGTGTGTAGATCTGTGCTAACCACAAATCTTACATGTATGTGTTGTTGCAGAGGCAATCAATGCAATTATTCTACACTCAGACAGTGCCTTGGAGCTCCTCAGACGAAAGAAAGTGAAAAAAGAGTACATTTTTCGTCACCTGGCAACTCTGACAGTTGGCGTGTCATCAACATCAGATAAAGCAACTCTTGTGAGGCAATTACTGTCACTTTGGGGAACCAATGTATCCCAGCAATGTGTGTCTGAACGTATGGAAGTTGATGTAAGACCCTTAACCCAAGCTACATTTATTTGAACCCACAAAACACCACACTCCCTTGTGCTTGCTACACTCACATGTACACCTCGTAATCCAACACATGATGACAAGGACCTTGACATGCCATTTCTCTCCAAAATGTAGTATGGTCATGTGATTGTATGACAATGGCTACACTGTGTCACCAAAAAAGATTCTGTGAAATCATCAATAGACTGGAATATTCAGTTTCTAATTATATCTGAGCTGAGAGGATTTTAGATTTCAGATATGGAATTATGAATATGCAAAGACCTTAATATCTGAAAATAAGCAGCCATTTGTTTTGTAAATTAAAATAAAATAGTTCCCAAACCTGTACGGTTTGTTGCTTTATTTTCTCAAGGACTTGAGTGATGATCCAGGCCCAGACAGAAACCCAACCCTGAAGGCGCCATCAGCCAGTGAACCACCAAAGCATGTACAAGTGCTTGCAGAGCAGTTCACATCATGGTTTTACAGCCAATTAAACTCACTAAGTCAAGTCATTGCAAGCAACTCACCTAGTGACTGGGGATCTCATCATTTCTGGGAAGACTGCAAGCTCAATCTTCGTCTAATAATATCAGAAGTACGTGATGAAAGTTTCTATGGAGCCGAGTGTGTTGCACAGAGATTTCGAAACTTTGTTTGTGAGGAAGGCTTGATATTCAACCCTAACCTCAGCCCAGAAGGAACTCGAGGCTTTGTTGATCCACATGGACTTGTAATGGTAAGAGTTTGTGGTACAGTCCATCGCTATAATGATTGCTTGGGATTATTCGAACAACAATTTGGACTTATCCGAGATCCGCTGAAAGAGAATAACTGGAAGATTAAATTCATTGACATGAGCATGAAACAAACTGCAGTTCAACGAATGCCCACACTGACAGCTCCAATAGATGTGTCACAAGTAATTAATTAAGAAGCAAATACACTTGTGATAGATATATCGCTCTCTGATGTGTGCATACAAGTAGTGTCTGTGAAGGAACTGTATATGTGTATATGGCATTGTGTCACCAATGAAGGACACGTCGCATAGTACTCAGAAGTGTATTCAGATGAATGTGTACAAACCAATCTCTGCACTGGACAGGAACAAAGCTATAGGCCCAAGGCAGAAATGGCCCTAAAATGTCTGTCAGTAATACAAATTTTTTATATTTTTACGAGTTTAGTCATAAGAGTGCATGCAACCCATAGTGTTGCAGTTGCTGTATGGTTTTAGATGGTTTGATCATTCCTTTTTACAACTTTGGATTCTGAAATATTCTTATCTGAAAGTAAGAGGGTCCAGTGATGTATTAAAGTTTGCTTGTTACTGCTTTCAGTTAATGCTTTGCATAAAAATCATGACTAGTCTTGTGGCCTAAAAATCTGTTTTGCATAATAGTAATCATATACAGTAATTTTTGTGGCAAAAGCAGTGATGCCCCCGCAGGGATGCTCTGGGGTTCGAGGGCCCCCTATTCTCCCCAGAGGGTTTGATTTTTGTTCTCTCTGAAAAATAATGATACAATGTACATCTTCAATGTGTTAAACTACTAGCTCTGATATTGCCATATGTCAGAGTCCCCTGTGGCACAATAGGAGAGGAGGAAGGGAGGGGGAGGGGACTTGAGTGTCGTGAGTTAGGGGGGGAATTGGAGTCTAAACCCCCCTACCAATCATGAGTATGTCACTAGGTAAGTGTTGGATTATGTGGCGTACATTGATGATGCAATTTCTCATTTGGGAGACCGAGAATTTGATAAGCACTGAACATATAGTGCATTATGAAGATCACATAGCATACATCTGTGCTTGAAAAGTGACAGGTTCAGTGTTTGTGTGTCAGATAAACAGTTTCTTTGTCCGTTTGGTGTATGTACTGGTGTAAGAGAAGGGGGCTTGTTGATTTATATTCAAACAAAAAAATCTGCCAGCATTTGGAAGTTGCTTTGCTTTGTCACAACGTTTCTCATGAAGTTGACTTGACATTGTTTTAATAAATAAATCTCAGACCATTTAAGTGGTATATATTGCTTCAGATAAAGCGCCTTGTCAAACCTTATGAAACCAATTGTACACAAGTTTTAAGTTACAAAGACTAACATGTATCAGCAGTAAAAAGGTTTGATTCATAAACTGATTTTAATGTGTAAATGCAATTTTTCCAGTACCGCTTGCCGAAAAATTTTGTTTTGACAAAATTAATTGAATAATGGTGTCTTTTCTTTGAATCGTTTTGGTGATGGGGTGACATTTGATTAGGAATTTGTAATCTAAACTGCACAATTTTAAAATATAATACCAATTCTTCCTGAAGCAATGAACAATTTGGATATTGTACTGCACTTGTATTACTGAGTCATCTACTTTCTACAATGTTGTCCATTGTGTTTTTGTCTCTTGCTTTATGTGACTTGAAGAAATGAACCAAAATGGAAAATTTTGAGGTACTTGGTGGCAGCAAACAAGTTAATCTCAAGAGTCAGCCTTGTTTTTGCATCATTTTGAGTGCACACATTGTGTATTCAAGCATAATTCATTAAACAGTAGACTTATTGTGTGCGACTGGTATTTTTTCTGCCACCAAGGGACTGAAAAGTCTCCCATTACGGTATGAGGCCAAGAGCACATCCAAAATCAACTGTTCGTGAGAGAGGGACAAAAAAAAATTGGAAATTATTTCATGGAACCTTTTATTGCCTTTCTGAGGGGTGGCGCTACATTTGGGGGTATACGCTTTGGGATTGAATAGAAATGAAAAAGACCTAAACATTGCTTTTCTCTCATTTTATAAAAATTGGGCTTTGTTTTGGGGAGGGCTAGGGGACCATGACTTCTGTTTACCCATCCGATGACCCTTTTCTAAAGCCTAAGAAGTTGGGAACAGTCTTAAATTGTAAAACTATAGAGGGGTAAAACATTCTTGATTAGTGGTTCATCGTGATAATGCCCTCTCGTGGAGGTGTTTTATGGCCTGTTTCTGTACTACGGCGTCATGAAATTAAAACTATGAAGAAACGAAAACTATTGTTTTGTGCGCCGAACATACTTTTATTGTGTAGTTTCATTAAAATTCACCGGCATGAGAGGGCGCAATCACGATATTGTGGCGGTGGGTTATTTATGTCTGTGGTGGCGGTCGCTTGAAATAGCGCCCTCTTGCGGCAGTTGATTATTGAGAACATATTCAATAGCGTCTTGAAAACAAGCCTATGCATGTAAAGTCCCATGTTCAGTCCTGCCCATTCTTAATTCGGCGTAACACATAAATTGGGCTGAATGTCATGAGATGTGTCAAAGTCTTGGTTTCAAGACGTTGTTGTAAATACTTCAATATCCTACTGCCGCTAGAGGGAGCTATCACGACAAGCCATTATTGTTGAATATTAGGGTACAGTCCAGTAATTCAAGCCCCTAGAAAACAGTGTAAAATCATCACTGTTCAGGGCCCAAAAACATGCATGCCAACATCCCTGAGATTTCTGAAACACAAATGAAATTCTCGTCTGGTCACTAATCTTTCAATTTCTTTTCAATTGTTTGTTGGTTAACCAATTACATTTTTAATAATTCCCACAACGCCCCCCCCCAAAAAAAGTGATTTTTCCGAAGCCTGATTGCAGCCACTTTTCAAGTGGCAACCGTCAACTTTCTCGGGCACTTCGGACCATTTTTCAACCGTAGTTTTTAGCCATTCTGCTCTCATATGCAAGCTCAAAGACCCAGGGAGTTGATCCTGGCAAGGAATTACACAATCTCACCGTGCAAACAATCTCCTTGTTCAAAAGATACAGTGGGGGGGGAGCACTTTTAATACTAATGAGCTGGCCAGATATTCTCATTTGAATTAGTGGTCTGCCCCCATTACACCACGGTTTGAGGACATTTGACTGATAGTTGACTTGTCCGAGTCCCCAGAGAGTAGTTGGTTATTTAAGAGCAGTTTCGATGTGAAGTAAGAGTAGTTATTGTTGTAAAATTGGTGGTTTGAAGATAAATGGTGTTCAAAAAGCAGGTGTGAATGTTGTAAACCCATGGAGCTATTAAACCGAAGGATTTAAATTGATCGTAAAAGTTGCAGGGCGCCCTCTGCAATTTTCTTTTTATTTTGTAAACGGGGGGCTTAAATAGGTAGTGCGCTCGCTTTCGTTTTTAAACGAACAGTTCAACAATCTTGATCCTGAATTTAAAAGGAGGCAGTCCGTAACTTTGGCTTCGAATTACATGTACACTTAACACATTCTATATGCTCAGCATTTTGGTGACAATTTCGGCCTGAAATATTATTTTTTGACTAAATTTGTGATGTTTTTTGAACTGCCAAATACAAGCTATAGTGCTGTCTGGTGGCACAAAAACGTCTTGAAACAAAGACTGTAAGTAACGTGGAACCCCAAATTCAGTTTCGCCTATTCCTAGTTGGGTCAGATTGTGTAATGTTTACATTATGAGCGTGGTTACGTAAAATTGAAGTTGCACGTGTGCTTTGCGTTAATCATTTCAATTTGAGTGAGAGCTAAGTTAGTGGAGGGTGAATTCCTGCTTAGGATTTGTTTTCCAACTCTGATTTCATCATGCCAGAAGGACCAGAACTTCATCTTGCCAGTCGATTTGTGAACAGGGTTTGTAAGGGTCGTGTATTCACTGGTCGCATTGTCAAATCTCCGGTTCACAAAAGTGATGAAGTCTCGTTCTGCGCTCAAGCGTACATCATCACGGCTGCTTCAAGGGGTAAAGAAATGCAACTTATCCTCTCAGAAACTGAAGATACTCCCAAGTCTCTCTCCAAGGGCAAAAAACGCAAGCTTACTGAGCTGAAGTCTACCAGGATTTTGTTCCGATTTGGGATGTCGGGAAAGTTTCAGTTCACGACCGTTTCGGAGGTGCACAAGCATGCTCATCTTCAATTCTTTACGAATGATGATCCAACCATGGTCTTAAGTCATGTTGATGTCCGTAGGTTTGGAAGATGGGAAGTAGATGCTGATTGGTCCAAAGATAGAGGACCAGATCCAATGTTTGAATATCAACCTTTTAGGTGAGCATGCTGGCTATATGTTATTTTTAATTATGATTCTGTCCTGATTTCTTTGTTATTTTGTTGTAGGTAGGGTGCAAAAGATTGAAAAGTTCAGAGTTAATAAACGGCTAGTTATGTTTAAACATATCTCACATCACACCACGTTGTTAAACATATTTTCTCCATATACTCCGCTTGATGCGAATAGGTGATTGAGAGAAACCGAAACTTTAATTGGCAACAGTCAAATGCCATTTGGTTAGTGTGCCTAGCATGCCTAGTGTCCACATGAATATGCTACAGACATGGCAGACTTGCAAAATTACTAACGTTTTGTCGTGAGTGGTATTTTTCTCCTCCGTCCTTTGTTTTGTGTTCAAGACTTGATCCTAGAAGATATTCTGTTATACAAGAGCAAAGGATCATGGGATATTACACCTCTGGGTCTTAGCTAGTTGTTGTGTAATGAACACACTGTAATGGATAGGGCCTTGCCTAAGCTGAAATTTACCATAAGTGTAACATATCTCCTTTCTGATCAATTCAGAGATAACGTTTCAGTGGAAATCCTTTCAAAATTCTGTTTCTATTGCAGGTCAAATGTAGTGAAAAACCTCGAATCAAGTGCCTTTGACAGACCCATCTGTGAAGTTCTTCTGAATCAAAAATATTTCAATGGGATTGGAAACTACCTCCGAGCTGAAATACTCTACAGGTTCTTTATTTATCAAAAAGCATGTTTTTAAATATTTGCAAATTGAAGTAGTAGCCAAGAAAGATGCTTTAATTGGTGATTTTTAATTTATATCAGGCACATTATTCACAAATTTTGTAGTAACATGCAGTGTTACCAGGAATTATGTTTATACAATGAATTGCTTCTTCTTTTAGACTTGGCATACCACCTTTTGAGAAAGCTCGCAATGTTCTAAAGGACCTGGACGAAAATCCACCTGATGTTAAGCCAAAGATGAAAGGTCAGGATGTCAAGGTCAAGGATAAAGGTCCGAAGGTTGACATACTGCATTTGTGCCACACTGTGCCCCTGGAAGTTGTCAACCTAGGTAAGGCAATGCATTTTTAATTTACATCAAATTTTGTTGTCTGGGTTTCTCAATGTTAGCTCAAATCCCAGCAGGTGACTTTGGAGCTGTGACTTAAATCGAGGAGCTTTTGAACATGTATGTGTGCATCTCAGTCCATACTTAAAGCAAGCAATATGGAAACAACTACGTGTATGACTTCTGCCAAGTCTTACTGAATCCAAAGTTTTTCATTTTTTCTAGCAGTTTCACTCAGGAGATAAAAAGTATCTTGAAAGTTCAAGAATTGTGAGTTGAGAACACTGGATGAAAGGACAAAGTTAAGGAACAATGAAAGATAGACTAACAATTTGGGAAAGATCAACTACATGTACATTAAAAAAATTACAAATACACAACAGTGTCAAGAGATCTGTTAGTTTGCAAGACATTGGCAAAATAAAGTTCCTGTCACTATGAAAAATGGTGCCAAAAATTCCAATAAACCGATCAATTGGGAGTATCAACCTCATGGCAAATGCTACGTGCTATGGTAGAATTAGTGTCGTATTGGAGAAGTTGGGGATTGCAGGTGGAAACTGCCGCACTATTCTCCTTCACTCGTTGAAAGAATAACTGTTGGATAAATGCAATCACTAACAAGATATCTCATATAATGTCTACCATTTCAGGAGGAGGTGGTTATGATCCTGAAGGAAGATCAGCCGATTATTCCAAGTTTAATGCCTGGCTGCAATGCTACTACCAAACAGGCATGAACAACGTGGTTGATCACAACAGTAGAACCATCTGGTTCAAAGGACCAGCCGGACCAATGGCCCCAAAAGGCAAGATCAATATTCTCTGATAAATCACCATCCTTTGGATTGAAATGATTTTATTTAGTAACCAGTTAGAGTCTTTGTATTTAAGAGGTGACATCAAGCACAATATAGAGTCACAAAAGCTTCTTGGTCTTGGATTCATCAAAATACTGGAGAATGTCCAATAGATTTTGATAGATTTTGAAATTTGGATCTCACGTATTTGCCCGTTATCACTGATCTAGGGCAGTACATGTAAATTTACATAAATAATGTCAGAACATTTGAATAATGATTTTTTTTTTACTTGAAATCTTAAATAAATGATAGATATGAAATCAAGGAGTCCTGTCAAGAGGAGAAAGAAGAAGGAAGCTGCATCAGCTAAGGATAATGAGTCACCCACAAAGGTCAGTGTTCAATATCATTTAGCTAAGGAACAGCAAATTGTGACTTGCGTGTTTGTGGTAAATACCACTTCTCTGGATATGAGAAATGCTGGCAATCCTTGCAGTAACACGTTCTCTGGATATGA